AAAAAGATAAATTGAGCTGTACAGCACGCGCTAAAGTAAAATTTAACGTAGCCCACTTATCCAAACGTGCCAAATAAGTTAATGAAAAGTCCTTTAGATATGTTTCACAGATATGTGAATACCATTTCGGTAATTTATGAAGGTGGGGCACCTTATATTCTTGGGATTATAGATGAGTTTAAGAGAATAGCCTTTCTATGGCAAATATGAGTGAAGTATTTTCAAGATTTTTAATTTGTAAAGCTAAGGTTGAGAATGAGCTGAACAAAAGGTTTGTGTTGTAAAAATTGACAATGGACTAGAGTTTCGCCTTAAGGAATTCTCAAAGAATCAGAGTCTGAAAATATCATACATCAACGGACAAAAATGGAGGGTCCTGAGATGAATGGTGTGGAAGAAAGATACAACTGTACATCCATGAAGGCTGTGTCTGCTACTTTAATATATTCCCAGTTTTGGGCAGAAGTTTTGCTTGCAGAAGTCCATATGAAGAATCAGTCATTCTATTCTGTGATTAAGGGAAAGGTTCCATCCCATTATTGGAATAACTGCGAATTTTTGGTTGACTATTTTAGGTCAATAGGCAGTTTGGTTGTTAAAAACTAAATGCAATCACAAGAAACATGAATGAAAAGGCAAACTGAAATTAGTTGTTGATTATGCCTTTCGCACCTAAGGACACTGGCTTTGGTTTCTTACAGAGGATAAAATTGAGAAAACTAAGAAAGCCCGCATACTTGAGGATCGTTTAGGATATCCAACTTGTGTGAGAAGTAAGCCAGTTGACACTGACTTGTATTTGGATCTACGTAGAGAAACCCCAGCTTATTCTGACGCTGAATCTTACAAATCAAAAGGAAAATTTAAAGCAGGATTCAAATGCAAAAGTTCCGTGTATGGTACCAAACAATCAATCTATATTGCATGCTAGAACTCCACCTAATGTATCACAACCTACTGTGTGCTCCTGGCTCACACAATTAATTCGCATAAGACTATCATTCCTTGGACAGATAGTAAATATCCTGGAAAAACAGTCTGTTTATTACTTCTCTGGGGAGACAAATAAAATATCCTAGACTCAACAGTTTCAAGAATGTAAAAATAATAACAATAAACAGCTGATTTGAATGATTTAACGAGGGAAAATGCTCATCTTGACATAGTGAAAGGTTCAAGTGCTTGTGATGAATTCAGTAGTTCTGATGTGTGACTCAGTAATGTACCCTACGTTGGATGTCATGCTCTCGAGTATTGCTATTTTATGTTGACAAATTCTGGCACAGGCAGCCAGTCAGGTACAGGCTGTCATTAGTTAAGCACAGTCAGTCCGACAGGAGCAAGCAGTCAGTCTCTTACAAATATGCAATTATGCATTCTGCCCCAGACAGGCAGATTGTCAATCTGCCAGTCCGGCAGGCTGACAGTTAGGGTCAAGCAGGAAGGCTTGGGCAAGAGGTTGGGTGCAGTCAGGCACCAATTGAGAGCTGGTGAGTTGGCTCAGATAGCCAGAGAGTCGGACACAGACAGCTAGCAAATAGCAGGCAGACCGGCCAACATGTACAGGTAGGTTTGTGGTTGGGTAGTTTTTTGAAGAAAAGTATGTCAGTGGCAGAGATCTCAAACTTTTATTTGAATGTGCTTGAAAGTAAGATGTTATTTGAGTACTTCTTTGTAAATTGACAAAAAAACAACTTTAATTTTAAAACAAATAAAAACTTAGAACATTAATAAAAATATTAGTGTTCTAAAGTTTCAAACAATATATATTCTTATTTTTTCGCTCAACATTTTAGGATGAACCTTAGCTTCTTAAATAATCACTTTCCATCAATTACGTGTCTTCATCCTGCATCTAGTGAACCTATTATCAAGTCCTTCAGTACATCTTGTAGCCATGCAATTTGATGTCTATTTATGAAGAAATCATGTTTCAACATTCTTTTTTGGATTTGGTACCTCTTTGATTCTGCGTTAATGACTTGACCATGCAATTCTTGTGGACTTGTCAAAGTTTATATCTTATTCTAAAAAATGTTCAGTTTGAACTTTCTTTTTTTCTATTATCTCCAATTTTAACACATATGGCCTCATAAATGTACTTGTTTAAAATATTATCATTTTCTTGGTCTATTTTAGTAATCATGTAAGTTTCTACTTCACATATTACCACCAGGCTGATCAGAGTTTTGTATAATTTAACTGAAATGGAAGATTGATCTCAGAATACCCTTTCTGAAAAAGGTCTCTTGTCAGTTTAGAAGCTAGTGTTGTTCATGGATTGATGGGTTAGAATGGAATGGGATAGGGTGGAGGTAACCAGAGTGGAGCGGAGTGGGATAGGATGCATGAACCGTCAGATGGTTTATTAAAAATTATCAACCTATCCAGCCTCCAAAAAATTACTAATAATTCTCATCGAAACATGACGTAATGTAACATGTTGACCAAGCTGAGTTCATGCTTACTTTAGCAAAATAACACTGACCAGTCCTGTGGCCAATTTATTATAATTCCAAAATTTTCTAATAGTCATCATCAATATAATCATGAGCCGTAGGATGTTAAGTGTATCTCTTGTTCCTGGTGGTGCAGTAGACTTTATGGTTTATACCTCCAGGCGTTCCGATTCTGTCCAGGTTTTATTTGGTCTTCAATGTTCCTTTGCCTTCTGGGATTGTAATTTAATGCTAGTATTGGAAATCTATCCTTTTTCTTTCTTCTAATTTGTTCTAATGATAACCTTTTTTCTATAATATTTTGTTTTTAAGCTTTTTCTTATCTTATGTGTTCCTTTGTTGATCCAACAGTGTAACTCCAGAGATATATTGGAAGAAACTTATTTGCGCCCTTTCCGATCTTTGATATCTCTACTGTTTAGTGTCCTGGCTACCGATCGAAAAAGTAGCATTGGTTTGGATGTCATGTGTACATACAATTTTGGTCAGCATCTTCCAAAACACTTCTTAATTATTTCATTGTATCTATTATATTTCTGGATATTCTTTTCTTCTCCGTGAAGGCGAGTTACTTTGATTACTGGGTATTTTTTCACTAGTTCTTGGAAGATTTTTGTTTCACTATATAATGTGTAAATATCTTTAGTTAGAATTGAAAATGCTTTTACTCTTGGATCATGAAACATTGCAAAATTTACGAAGATCTCTGAAATCGTCTACTGAATTAAATTTAACGTTTACTTTGTCTGCTTCTATTTTTGTTGTGAAATCTTGTTTAACTACACGTTTAATGTCTTTTATTAATAGTTTAAAATTTTCCACTTTGTGTATGACTGTAGAACGAATTTCAATCACTGTTTCCGCGAAACTGATATGTTCGTCTTTTTCAGTTCCGTTGTTTAATATTTCGAACGTGTTTTCAGTAGGGTTTCAGTAGTAAGTTTGTTTTTTTGCCTTTTGGATTCACTTTGTTATATTGGCGCTGGTGCTCTGTGTTGCAAGGGCAGCCAACTAGAGTTAGTGCTGTTCCTGAAGTTGATGCTGCTGCGCCTATATTTGCTGATGTTGATCCATAAATGATATAAATGAGTTGTTGTTGGTACTCCAAGGAATGTTGCATGTCGACGGGCGTAGTATTGTTCACGGCCTGCATCCCTTCTTTGATGCCGAGGTCTTAAAGAAAAGGTTCCTGGGGAGGAATTGATTCTGACAGCTGTGATTCTTGAGGGTTTTCAGCCTGCCATTGCACCCTCGGCTGCTGCTGTAGGTGTTTCGTAAACTGAAATGTAAACTGCTGTAGCTGTTCGTAAAGTTCGTTCATCTGCTGAAGTTGATGTTCTAATTCTATTTGCGCTTGCAAGTTTTGAAGTTGTTGCGCTTGCGATCGAACATCTTCCATGGTTTCACTAAAGTGGTTCATTGAATACGTTTCTGTGTTGTTTGACACGTATAGAGCGTCCTTTATTAATTGTCCCGTAGCGGGGCAACGATTTGTTGACACTCACTCACTGTTTTTGATCCCTTCACTCTCAGTTGTTAACTAAATTGATTATAGTCTCGATAAAGGCACAATACATTATGTAAGTTATTGAAATATGCTCGCTCATCGTCAAGTATCTGTTATGAAGAGGCGTTGAATCAAGAGGACCAGAAGTTAAATCGTAAGAAGCTTTGTATATCCATGGACAATCCGTGGAATGTCCGTGAAAATACACATCATTAAATTTGTAATTGGTTTGTAATTTTTCGTCTAAGTTAGCTCGTATTGTATTATTAAATCATCGGTTGTTCCAGTACCGTTGATGGATTATATTAACTAATCTTCGTATGAAACGTTATAGATTTTAATTATGAAACTTTCTTGAGAATATATAACATAGTTGCAGTATTTTGGGCTATATATTTGTTCTTGCCAGTGACTGATGCTTTGTATGTGTCAAGTGATCAGTAGAAAACGCAAACTTGCTGTTTGAGGCACTGAAAGATAAGTGGAAGAATTGCAACACTGCTTCTGGGACAGCTCCTTTGCTTGCATTTCTGCGACAGTCCCTTCACTCACCATCCCCTGACTTTCACCCACCCCCTTCCTGTGGCCTGTCATGCCTGTTCAAAGCAAAACAAATTGCGTCTTTATTCACTATTTTGAAGTTAACTTACAATGCGCCTCGGCATAGAGCAACGTGTATTTGTGGTGGAGGAGTCTTTCCGAACGCAATCTTTCAGATATTTTGCAAGATGGTATTACGCTAAGTATTGAATTACACACGGCCGATAACACAAGCAACAGAGTTGGACACGACGGCATGCAGTCATTATTTTGAATTTTTTCAATAATCCTGAATAAAACAAGGTTGTTTAAGAAAATACGTTTCCATTACTCATTGGTGTTTGAAATCATTGCAATGAGCCTGAAATATATCAGCCTAATATTGCAAAAATGATTATCAAATTCGTCAGGCTCTTTGCTAAATGTTGGTGCTCTTTACAATAAGTCAGATTTTCCATTTGGCTACATTCCTTTTCTTTCTTTTTGTTACCCAGGTTCGTTTTGGAATGAAGAAAAACATCGCTGGAATGATGGTTTGGTCATTGGATACTGATGACTTTTTAGGCGACTGTGAGAAGACAACTGGCTATAGTAAATTTCCTCTGTTGCGTACCATAAATAAAGCCCTCACTGCAGCATTACAGGAACGTGAAAACGAATTAGCAAAAAATAAGAAAGATCATGTCAAAAAAAATAATTCATCTAGGTATACAAGTCTAGGCTATTTCGTATTCATTGGAATCGTGACACTGTTATCCATATTTTAAAAGATATGTGCCATAAATTCTTTGTCTCTCTAACATGAGTTTGGTGAGTAATTGCAATTTTGGTGTGTGCAGAATAAAATTGAATTTGAAGATTATGTTTCCAGTATTACTTATGCATTAGCATGTTACATTCTAGTATGCTTTTTGCATCAGCTGTTTCATTAGACATATTTTGTATTATATTACAGCTATTTTTTTACTTGAAATCTGTTCATGAATTAATTCATTATCCAGAGAGTGTGTGATTCATTTACAGTTCTCAGGGATTTTAAATGTGAAATTCTGATTAATATTGCCAGATTGGTTTCCCTCTTTTTGGACATTTATAGCGGTTTATTGATATTTGACGTTGAACTAATTTTGTATGTATATACTTAATTTATTGTTCACTTGATTTTACTAAAATGTGGTGAGTTGATATTAATTCATAGATTAATTTACTTTCAATAAATGGGAATTTTTGTTTCAATAAAATCAGTTTTCTGTCTCGACCCCACCTGGTTACAAGAACAAAACGAGTGTCTGATTAGCAAATATAGATTTTTCACTGTTATCCTCCAAAGTAGTGTGAAAAGAGCTTCCAATTGTGTGGATTCACACTGGTTTCATCGTAATCAATGGTACGCATGATGTAATCGAGGAACTCTAATGCGAAAGACACACGCGTATTCATCAACAATTCTAGCGTGATATAAACATTTGTACTATGCAATACAATATTGTGTTATAGAATATATATTATGACATGTCCCTTTCAAACCTCTCACATTTCAAGGAAAGTTAGAAGACAATGATAATAAAGCCGATGATACGATAATAAAATTTCACAATGTGCTAGAGCAAAAATATATGTTTATATTCCCGCTCTAAAAGTGTGTAATATTGCCACCAAGACGCGTCATAATCATGTAAATGGAAAATGGCCAAACCACAGCAGCGCGTGAAAGCGATAGTGTGGGTTGAAGAAACAAAATCGAGTTGCATCGAGTGCAAATAAATTTTCTTATACGGAGGAGGTCCACGCGATCTCAAAAGAATAAAGTAATGAAATCAGACATTTTTGGATACTGGAGGTGTTCTGAAACTGGCATGACGTCCTTCTCGTAGTGTTTGGGAAGAGCAAGCGGCAAATATCACATACTACTCGTTTATTAGAAGCCCGCATAAGTCCATTCGGCGTACGTGAGGACAATTCAATGAAGCTCGAACAACATTTTATCGTGTAGTATACGAGAGTGCTACACCCACTGACTTCCTTGTTTTAAAAGATAATGGTAATGCGACCGTCCGACAAGTGGTCTGTCTCTTCAGTCAATATATTTAGAGAATTACGGTTGGTCACACAAAGTATCTAAAACCACAAAATTCGACATTTGTCCTTAAATATTGTTGATAGGTTTGTTTCCATAACTTCTTTCTATGCGATTTTCAAAATAACCGATAACTAAAAAATTCAGCCGGTTTAGAAAGATTTCCGGATTGTTTGTTAAAGACTAAAGACCCGCGATTATACAAGGGGCAGTCAGGAACTATTGCCTCTTAATTTTATTCAGTCACTTTTTGGAAAAATGGGATAAATCAAATATTGCGCGCTTCTTCAAAAAGCGTTGGTACCTCTGTACATTCATGCAAAATGTTTACCATCGATGTGCGGTTAAATCTGCGTGCTGAAATTGAATTTTTGAATTCAGAAGGCCAGTCGCCTATTTGTATCCACGAACGTTTAAAGAAGTTTTACGGAGATGCTACAGTGGATGTTAGCACTGTTCGGCGGTGGGTTCGACGCTGCACAGGAGTCAGATGCGAAGAACAACTTGAGGTGGCAGATGCACCGCGGAGCGGTCGTCCCATACAGCGGTAACTGCGGACAATATCCAGCGCGTGGATGACATCATTCGAGAAAATCGCCGGGTACCCACGAGTGAATTGCCTAATGTCAATAGGAAAAGGTAGTGTGAAGGAACAACAATGTTCCAATCGATAGTGGAAGCGTTAAAGAAGTTTAAAGTCGCCTCCGGAGAGTTCGTGCTACGAAAAGGCAGTATGACATTCTTCTTCTCCACGATAATGCAAGGCCACACTTCTCTGCTCACAACTGCAACAATTGCAGAATTTCAGCGGGAGGTCCTTCCTCACCCACCTTACAGTCCAGACCTTGCTCCTTCTGACTTTCATCTTTTCTCACCTCTGAAAGGAAGTTTGCATAATTTTCTAGAGCATGAAAGTTTGAAGAACGTCGTGCGCCAATGGCTGCGGAAGCAGGACAGACATTTTTACCGCCAGGAAATATACGCTCACGTTGAACGTTGGAGAAAAAAAGTACAATTAAAAGAAGCATATTTTGAATGATACATTATTTATAAAGAAAGTTTGAGAAATAAATTAATATTAATTTCACCTTTTTCTTTGAAAAATAAATACGGAATAAATTCGAAGGCATTTTTTTCTGACTGTCCTTTGTACAACTGAATCGGCACGAGGAGAAAGGGAACAAGTCAAAAATGCAGTATTTTTTAGTTTGGAAAGTTGTTCTTTAAGGCAAGGAAAATTGTACTGTGAAGAAAGGAATCATGGCATAACATTGTTTAGGTTATAAATTGCAAGATGGAGGTAGCTGTCCTGCAGAGGAAGCGATCAAGTCACTGACATGTTCTATAACTTTGGTAACCTCAATGCTATAATTCTGGTTTTGAATGTTGCAATGCGTGTCGCATTATGCTTGTATTCAGATACGTGCCATGGGCGCCACTTAAAGGGCCGTTATTTAGAGTACATCAGCTAAAACAATTAACAACTCTAATTTCAAGTATCCTGACAGGCGCAAATTCAATGCTTTCCATGGGCGTCTGAATATCTAGATGCGCCTCTGCATGCATCGGTGAAAGCTTGCATGGTATCTCTTAGCAAAGAGTTGATAAGGTAGCAAAGCTTCTCCCGCCTTGCAAAAGCCCACGAGATAAAGTATTCATAACCCAACTATAGTTTCTAAGCATATATTACAGTCAATAGATGAGCACGTAAATTGTTTTCCTGCCAAGACATCTCATTACAGCAACCGATAAATGGAATATCTAAATTGTCGTTTGTTTTAAAATTATACATAATCCTTTCCTAAAGCAATATAAAGATAGTGGTATCAAAGGTGACTTTTTTCGAAAATATTTTTAAGAAATTTTTTAACTTAGTTTTGGTAGACCGTAAGTGGATGTTTTCTCCAAATGTGAAGAGCTTGGAGCAAAAATGAATACATTTTGTGTGGCAGCTAAAACGTGTAGGAGAGTCTGAACGTCATATTCAGAAAAAATAAGCTGATACATTTTATAAATCAATGCCCGTCGAGGTGGGTCGGTCCACGACCTGACGGGAGGGGGGCTCACAAGTATTCCTTTCTTTCGCCAGTTATCGTTATCCATTCCCCATCGTTCATTCTTGTTCTTTGATAACAACCTGTCTTTTCTTCTACTTCTATTTCACTGGCGTTCCCTGTATGCTGAACGCTCACCCATGTGTTTGCCGTTCATGGCGACCCGTGTCGGAGGGAATGTGTGTCCTGGCAGTTGAGGAACCTGTGTGTTTCCCAACTACTCCTTGTCCTCTTTTCTGCCTTGCACTCAGGAATACTTTATTATCGTATTTTGGGGAACTTCTTTGGAGGTTTCCAACACTCTCGCTTTGGCCTCGGACTCTACTAGGGCAGTAGGGAGCTAAACCAATCCCGATCAATCGACGAGGTCTGTGACTGAACACCAAGGTTAGTGGAAGATGCCATGGTATCCCCCTGCGATTGTGCGACAGGGAATAAACCATGTCACTCTCTGCTATATCCCCGTGGCAACATTGGCACTCCAGCGGAGTGTCCCCTTGTCGGGCTCCATGATGTGTGGGGACCTCGGGGATAAATTAGAATCCCTTCATATGTATTCAAAAGCAACCCCTCTTCTTCCCAAAGGAAGAGGAGACTAAACGAAAGAAACGTTGATCTGGAAAGCTCTTTTTGCCAATAAAACTTCACTTCCTTGTAATGACATGCAGCGAAGAAGGAAAAACAATGAAAAGCGTTAGTTTAATAAAACTCGCAATGGCTGTAGAGAAATTAGGGAAGTTCCACGCAGTCGTTCCCCAACGCACTGGAATAATCCTTTTCGAATGTCGGTCAGACGAACAGATTGACAGTGTTAAAAGTGAAGGAAATAGTGGGCCTACAGGTTCTAGTGTCGACTCACTCTACATTAAACCTATGTAAGGGTACTGTTATGATTTCGGCAAACATGATTTCGCTACTGAAACCGACTAAGACCTGAAAACGTTTTTCTTGTCTGAGGGAGTAACCGACATACACAGGATTCAGCGGACGGTGACCCAACCTCAACGTTGATCATCACATTCGACCACCCCTCTCTTCCGGAGAGGATCTCATGCGATTGGTATAATCTGCGTGTGTGGCAGTATGTGCCGAACCCCCTGAGCCACCTTAAGTGTCAGAGGTTGGGCCACACCCAGCAACGCTCCATGGGTAGTGCTGTATGCGCCAAAGAGTGCCACTACTCTGAATACAAAACCGGCCCGAAATGTGTAAACTGCACAGGAGACTACCCATCAAACTCAAATAAATGCCGAATATTTGAAAATGAAAGAGAAATTCAAAAAATTCGAATATTCGAGAACGTGTCGTTCCCTGAAGCACGTCGGCGACTCGTACAAGAAAACCGATGACCCTCTCCAGGAGTTTTGCACACACCTTGAGGATGTCAAAATCGATGTCTAGTTGCCAAACTAGTGCAGAAGTACAGCCAGTCTCTGTATGTGACTTTCCCTGTCAGGTAGAGATCGTCTGCCGAGATGCAGTCACAAAATTAACCCTACCATCTGAAACCAAGTTTAAAGCAACTACAAATATCTCAACAAACACCCAAGGCGCCACCCTGGAAAACTGAGGCCAAAATGGCCTATTTCTAGATTTTTAAAAAATTGTTGCGCCTCCAAGCCCCGCGGGGCGTTGAGCGCTTTGCGCTTCCGGAGTAAACGTCCATTAATGTCAGCGCGTGAGTCCGAGGTAATCCTCCATTAATATTTCAAATATTCGTGACGTCTCGTCGCAGTCAGTTGTCAAGAGGACCGCCATGTAGCATTTCCGCGGACACACCTCATACTACGCGTCCCCCTAACCTACTCAGCGGCCAGAGTTGGGAAGAAATAAGGATTGGGGTAAGGTTTAGGACACTTCACAGGGGTTGGACTAGTC